TAAGTTTTCTTCATAATAGCTGCTTTCTTAGAAGCTGAATTCTAGTTTTTTTCCTTCACTTATTACTTTATATACTAGATTAAACTTGAAGTTTGTATAGTCTAACTTACTACTATTACTAAGAATATTGTTCAAGTACATGCACTTAAGTTGTACTTCCTTTATTCTTAATCTCATAGTAAGTCCTACCTTATCTTGTTTATTCAAACATATTGTTAGTTCTGTAATGTAGTATGCTAGCTGGTTCTGCTAAATTGTTCTCAGACCTAGAATTTTTATATATCTATATATGCTATTTGGAGCAGATTTTGCTAACCCTATCTTGTTCTTGATTAAGATCTAAATTAGTTTTTGAATTCACTTACAAGCTACTTTAGATAAGAATATTGTTTGGAGCCTATACTCAATACTAAGCATAAGTACACTGTTATTTAGATAAACTAGCTAGCTTATAGATACTCTTTTTCATACTATTGCTCTGCATATTCTTGTGACTTCTTTTTTGATGATTTCCTCATTATACTCCTTTTCTCCTTTTTCAGATATCTAAACACTTAGATATTTTATAACTTCAGCAGCAAGGAGGGCAAGCAGACTTTTTTGTATTTTATAGAATTTTTGGGTAAGTTGGGTATGTAAGTTAAAAGCTCTGAAATCATCAAAATCTATATTATTTTTTTATATAAAATATCTAGGAATACATTCTAGAGGCTAGATTTTTTTGGTTAAAAATGACCCTTTCAGAGTCTCAAGAACAATAATTTAGTTTTCTAGTTAAATCAGCACTTGAGAGCTCCAAGAACAATAATTTAGTATTCTAGTTAAATCAGCACTTGAAAGCTTCATGAATATTAATTTAGTATTCTGGTTAAATCAGTACTTGAAAGCTTCAAGAATAATAATTTAGTATTCTGATTAATCGATACTTAAAAAGATCAAGAACTATGATTTGTTTTCTTGTCTAGCTAGAGTCTCTGAAAACTTAATTTCGATAATGAGTACAGAAGGTGCAAGGAATATATTTTTTGGCTCTCTGATGGCCTTCTTATATACTTAAGTTAGACTATATAGGATAAAATTTAAATTTAAAGAAAAGAATATTTAAAGTAATATATATGAATCAGTTAACTATATATAGATATTGACTTTGTCTAAGATGTGGCGATACATTCGCAACAAACCAAAAATTCAAGTATCATTTAACTGAAAGAAAGCACCCTTGTGCATCTTGAAATATATTACAAGCAACTGTGCTAGTTTCTAGCTCTGAACCCTTGTCTAATTTAGATTCGCAATTTCAAGTGGTAAAAGATCCCAATGCTAGAAAATCAGGTGAGTCTGTTAAACAATAAGGATTGAGATTATGAAAAAAAGTCAAAGAATTAGATGACAAGGATCGTGGTCAGCCAAAAAATTTGGCCAAAACCAAAGCTCGTTATGATGAATTATTGCAACTGGATCCAAATACAAATTTCTGACTTGCAACAGAAGAAGAAAAGTATAAAGAGTAAGGATTTTTTGATGAACCTGAAATCGAGGAAGTAAATCTTTAGCATGAAATATCTCCAATAGTACAGCTAAAAATTAATGAGTTAGAGACTCGAGACTATGCCTCTCCTGAAGCTGGTCCAGGCTCTTATACCTAAGCTCATCATGAAGGTAGACTTACTAAATCAGAAGAAATAGTAACTCAACAAACCACACCATTAGATAATATAGAATTGCAATCTGTTTAAGAATTGCCTATTCACAAAGAAGGATTTCTAGATTTAGATGTAGAAGTACTATGGCCAGTTCGATTTCCATATAATGAAGAGCATCATGTAATATAGCAAAATGGAATTCAGACTGCAAAGAATATGTTTAAAGTAGATAGAGCCAAATATGCTTTCTCAACCTGGTTTACAGAAGCTAAAGAGATAGATTTGGTCAGTGTAATATTAGGAGCAGAAAATGAAGATGAAGCTATACAGAAGGTATATTTACAATGCCTATATTGGAATTATTCAGAAGAAGAAGAAATCAATGAAATCATAAAATTAGCAGTAGATACTTATAGAGTATCAGATAAAGGAAGTAAAGCCTAGTTAAAATATGTAGAACAAGAAATAGAATCAAAAAAATTTGAAGCTGGGATGACTGAAAAGTAGGCTCAAGAAATTTTAAATGCGATCAATAATGGTGAGTTCTTAATAAGGGTAAAATTCATTTGAGATGATTCTGTATATGGAGATAAATCTTAAACAAAAATTGCTTTTAAAATTATTGATAAATATGAGACTATTCATGAATCAAAAAAAGCAGGTGGAAAATATGTCAGGAGTGGTCCAAATATTATATTTACAAAGAAAACGAAACCAGGATTTTGAGTAGGAATAGATGAAAAATTTTTGGTTAGAGAAGTCAGTGAGCAATCTGAGGTAGAGAAGCTTGACAGTAATGCAGTAGTATATGGATTATATTAAATCCGAAAGCCAGATATCAATTCATTAATACCTATGAAAGATAGAGCACTTAACTGTATAGCTCAACGAGTAATAGAGCATTTTGATAACAGTAAGCGAGGGCATGGACTCACAAAAATTCGTCAGCAAAAAATAAATGATTGGGAGAAAAAAATACGCATTCCAGATGCTCAAATACAAGATGTAGCAGAGTAGAAAAAATTCTTAAATGATCGATTAAATTACTTAATATAACTCATAGTACTATATTTAATAGTAGAAAGTATTGATTAGGTAAGTATGAAGAAATCAGAATAGTAGTTCATAATAGCTATGCATTTCCAAGAAACCAGCACTTCCCAAGAGATCGAATAGTCAAATATTATAAAAGTGATATATGGGAAGCTATCAGTAATGCTCTCAGAGGACCTCAAGCAATCTGGCTTATGAGAGTAGGAGATACGAGTCAAACAATATCCCAGTTTGTTCTAGAAGATGGTCGCATATTTAGAACATGGAAAAAGCATACAGAAATTATAGAAGCATGTAAATAACTAGTCAATGATACAATAGATGAGCAATATCAGGAAGGAATAATCAATAAAGAAAAGAAATCGATTCTTTTGAAGTTTCTAAAAGTTGTTGATTTAGCAGAGCAGGTATTTGGTGCAAACATGCTGGAAGCTGACTTGCTAATGAAATCAATGAATGGCATCCAATATCTGAAAAAGTAAATAAAAATATAAGGCAAGCCTATGTCGAGCATGGGTATGGTAGATACTGGAATGCATATAATTATCATGTCAATAATATTATATGTATCAATATAAAAGAATGTTATCTAGCAAGTATGCGAGATCAAGGAGAATGTATACCATAGTTCAATAGGTTCAGACATCTAACACACTACCTTGTTCGAGTTGTGGTAAATGGAGAATTGACAGAGGATAATATCACTGAATTTGCATAGGTAAGATCTTTTAAATTTGTATCAAATATACATTCTGCGATTGCTATCTGGTACAGAAAATATTTTGCATGTCGAAGTGGAGAAGGATGTGGGAAAGAAAAAGGATAGGCACCTATTATACTTCTACGATATCTTCTTGAGGTTGGTATTCTAGAAAGTGTGACTATTGGAGAAGCAATAATTTCTCTTACTAAACAGACCAAAGTATGGCTACCTAAAAATCGAGATATTAGTTGTGTACTTATAGATAAGTTTATACAAGGTGATAAGATTGATGAAAACGCCTTACTCATCAACTTGCAACAGATGAAGGTGAGCTTGATTTCTTGATCAAAGATTGTACTGATGCTAGAAGAGAAAAATGTCCACTCAGATTCATATTTACATATTACGAGGGACATTAACCTTAATATACATATTTGCAGGCCTCAATGTTAGCATATACACATATTAATTTGTTAGAGATGCTTCAAAGATTTGATCCTAATGAAGTAGTAAGGATTGCTACAGATTTTATATATATATGAAAAGAGGCTTTATATAAGATCAAAAATATACCGGCATTCTTCGAGCAAGTTGAGATAAAGTTAGATCCAAATTTATATTCATACTATCCTTCTTGTGCAATGTGTACTAATCCAGAAGAATTCTTATTTTCAAAATCTAAATATGCAAAATGGATTAAAGAGTTTCTAAAAACAAAAAAGCCTCTAGTAAAATATGATTGCAAAAGATATAAACCATTGCTTTGGGAAATAGTTTTATAGACCAGACTCCTATACTCTTTCATATCAACCAGAAGAACAAGAAATCTGAGAAATTCAACTTGGTCAATGGCATGACAAAGGTGAAAAAATATATGGACTATTTACCGATATTGTATACTAGCCAAAGAATAGACATTGGGAATCGATCAAAAATATTTCTGAAAATATAGCACCCTCGATTCATGATCCTATTATTAGATGTCAGAAATCATATCTTAATAGAGGTGGTGGTTCAGAAAAAACAACGCGTGCAATTCGAATTTTCAAAAATATAAATATGGTTATATTTACTCATACAAATGCATTAGCTAAAGATTTTCGAGAAAAACGTGATGTAAAAGCTCAAACCTGGCATAGTTTCTTCAGATAAAATGGAGTAGGAGAGTAGACACCTGAATGCATGGGAGAGAAAAAATTTCTACGAGTTGTTATTTGGGATGAGGTATGTACAGTTCCTAAGCATATTCTTGAAATGTTTATTAATTATTTATTAGAACATAAATGCCAGATAATTTGTTGTGGTGATGATGCACAACCTCTGCCATTCTTTAGAGAAATGCTACATAATTAGTTAAAAGAGCATGCTGATTATTACGAAGAAGTTTTAACTGATTATCGTGCAAAATGTCCTAAATTATGTGAACTCAAAAAAGCTATGCATCGACAAAATAATCGAATATAATCAAAATTATTTCGAGAAATTCTTCCAACTATAGAAAAATGTGAACATCTCAAAAAGGAATAGACTCCCTCAGATCACATATTATTAGCACATATACTTTCCCAGAGAATTTCTTCTCAAAAATATTTAGAACTTCATCAAATAAAATATCTGAAATTCCAATTCCATTAATTTATAGGCCAAGAGATAGACGCAAACAAAACTGCCTTGTCCAGATCCCTGGTCTATCTGAAAAGAAGGAGTTAGTAAAAAATGACATAGTATACTTATCCTTAAATACACTTCCTAACAAATTCTTAAAAGATATGTTAGCGGATAAAAAAGTCATAGATTGTGAACTTGGATATGCTATGACTATTCATACTAGTCAGAGAATGACTCTTAAGTCACTACAGCGTGTTTGGATTATTGATGAAAACTTAGTCTGGGATAATCTAATATATTTGGCAGTTGGTCGTGTGGAATATTTAAACTAACTCATTCGAGTTGAAGTGCCTCCATTACCTCCTGAAATTGCTCAAGAGATTGAGGAGGCAAAAAAGAAAAGATAGCTAAAGCACAAATTGAGACTGTTTATTCAAGAAAAACTTATCAGATATATAGGCCAGAACAAAGAAAAAGATCATAAATTTGATTTAACAGTTGACTATATCCTTATATTAAAATGTATTCAAGAAGACAAATGCATATCATATCTCATCAAAATGAAATTCAAATGGGATCAGCTAGGAGATATACTTCAGTAGACAGTAGATCGAATTTACAATAGTTTGGAGCATATTAAAGGGAATATACACCTTATTTGTCTTCTTTGTAACTGAAATTATAGAGTCTAGATTATGGCAGTGATCCAGATATATATATAGTTAATATTTTTTTCTTTAAAATAAAAAAAATATTCACAAAATACTTTAAGTTGAAGAACTTGATATAAAATCAAGATATCATACAAAATTCTAAAAGAATAAAAAGTCTTAGTTAATAAAACTCATACATTTGATATATACAATATAATATGTATATATTCAACCCATTTACACTTTCAGAAACCATCACTAAAATCATTCAAAAAATGCTAACAGAAGATCTAAATGATTGTATTTATATTAATCGCATATGGTATAAAGAAATTTGTCATAAACTTTATAAAAGGCGAAAATACTTTAATATAAAATGCCATAATTTATTAGAAAAATTAGACAGATGCTATAGAGAATCATATATAAATGATAATAAAATTGAGCCTATATATAATAATGCATTGACAATATTTGATAAGCTCATAAAAGTAGAAAGGTATTTATTAAATAATAATATGATCTTCAGTAAAAGAATTAGAAATGAAATATTGTCAAATATTGAAGACTATAATTATGGAAACCTTCTAGATTCATATAATTTTAGAGAAGATACATTTGAATATATAAAATATCTAATGTAGGGAGAAGAAAGCTGACTTACCTATCTGCTATATATATTTTTTCAGTTGGCTATTTGATCAACTTCGCATTCAAATACATGCTTCGATTACAGATAATAAAAATGTATTACGTAAAAATCAGTTAGTCTAGATTGTGATCACAAAATTAAATCATATCACATTATAATGAGTCTCAGAGATGATATTATGTATAAATCCAATATAAGCAAATCTTAGTCTGGGTCACGATCTATTAAATCACATGTGGTAGTAATATTATGTGTGTCTTGGATGAATCAATCAATCACTATAAAATAATACCTGAACTTATCATGTTTTTGCTCAAACGTTCTAGCATATTCTTAGTAGCATATACGTAGTACTTGGTCTATATACTGAAGTTTTTATAATATAAGGAATGATATGTTAGTCTTGTTACTTTTACTAATAAAA